AAGTGGCATATCTTTAGAGGTTGGAAGCATGGGTGTAAGGTTTGTGACGAATGCGATCATCATTCACACCTATATTGTAAGACCTGTAAAAAAGTAGCGAATGGAATATATAAGCAATTTGAATGCGACAATTTTCCAAGAGAATCTCGTAATAATTCCACTTATCGTTATACATAACTTATTTGTAAGACGGGGCACAAGTAGAAATTGCCATTTTTCATTTTTCTGGAATTGCCAAGTCGGTCAATTAACTCATGCCACATATATTCTTCATTTTGTAGAGAATTCACTCTGGACTAAAATCTTATCTGGCCTAAATGCGCACAATGTATGTATGTATGACGGATATCAAGTCTTGTTTTAGCGATTTTAACCTCACTTACATGGCTTTATAACTCATATTACATACATTTACATCATTTACATAATTTCTGAATTTATAATCTTGATTTCCATTATCGATACATAGAAAATTCTCTGCGTGAAAATACATGCTATTATAGAAATTTTTTGATGTAAGATTGCAAGTTAATACACGCAGATTGAATGATCTGATTTTCTGTAAGTTTTGCCGGTACTTAATTCGTAATAATAACCTTCATCTTCATCATCAAAAAATATAATATTTTTATTAAAACTATATTCATCTTCATTATCAGAGAAATTTTCATTATCACTATCAGAGGGTTCCAAATTAGAATTTAAAGAATCATCGTGCATACTTATCTTAGTCTCTAGTAAAGATTCATCATTCTCACTTACCATATCTTCCGAATTGCCGGAGGCAGTCACAGAGTGAGTAGAGATATGAGTTAATAGGATAGAGGGAGTGGTTATAGAATTTACCTCCGTTTCCGGTAAAGTTTTATTGGTTTCCTTATTTACTACAGTTTCTGAGTCATTTAAATTAAATTGTTTAATCACATGCGCGTTACAATTTGTAACACCGATCATTTTTTGATATTTAGACGAAAAGACATCTGCATTTGAATTTTTAGGAAAGCAGTTTATAATATTTTGAATCTGGTTGTCAGTTAAACTCGAAATTGCACTTGCACTACATGTTATTGCTTGGATTTTTTCTATTCCTATTCCCATAAGTAATGTATAAATTTTTTTTGCTCTGAATGTTCTTTGACGCAAATTTACATCACTAATATTTGGGAGAAGTGCTTTTATCTCATTATATACTAATGTCCTTGCTGATTGGTTATCAATTTTATCTATACGTTTAATGTCTTCGATTCGATCCTCATATGTTTTATAGTAGCAATACCAGCATAAAATCTCTTTTTGTCTAACTTTCATTGCTATAACAAATAAATTGGCTATATTTTGTACTATAATTTTGCTAGATCCTGTTATAATTGCTTCTAGCGAGAATTTAGGAATTTGTATATCAAATACTTCACTAACTTTATTATTAATATTTTCTTTAATAAATACAGATAAATCGTGTCTTAAGACTTGCTCTACTCTTTTGCTGTATGGAATTTTTATTTCAGTATTTTCTGCTTAATTAGTAAGTATTGGTTTTGACAGGGTAATTTTATGGTTAATAACAGGATTTACCTCATTTTGCATATCAGAAGGGGAAGAGGTGTTTTGTATTGGCTCTTAACTTTGAAGTTCCTTTTTCTTATTTTTTTCCTTTATTTCATTACTAATTTTTTCTTTATGTATCGTTTCTACAAATTCAAGAATCTCAATTGAGTCGTCATTGATAGTATCTTGCAATAAAGAAGATTCGGATATTTCAGGTTCTGTTATTGATTCAGGTATTGTCAAGCTAGGAGTAATGTTTTTTTCCTTTTCAGAATAGACCTCAATAGGCGACGGAATAGATAATAATCCTTTTTGCTCATTTTTTATTTCAGAAAAAATAGTACAGTACTTTGTGCCTGGATCTGGGTGTTTACTAATAATCCTAAACAAGCTGTAGACTGCAAAATATTTTTTGTAGAAGATTCCTCTTGTTCATTAGTAGTGACTTGGGTCTGCTTCTATTCTAATTTTGTCACTCTATCTTTAAGCTCAGCATTTTCGGCAGTAAGCTTAGCAGTATCTATTTTATTTTTCTTTTCTAGTTCTTCAAATCTGAACTTGAGCATAGCTTTTCTTCTATAGCTTGTTTTAATTTTATATTTTCAGCCTTAATATTAGCATTTTCTTTTCTAAGTTCAGTAATATCGGATGCAAGCCTAGAGTTTAATTCTCTCAAGGTTTTGATTGTTAAATGATCATTTGACATTGTTTTAGTACAAAATTGGATATATTCAAAAGGTTAATCACACAAAAAAAATATTTGTAAAAATTACATCAACATTATTTATTGTAAAAATCAATCAAAAAAACTAAATCTATATATGGTTACATGTTAGTGTCTATATAAATTTTCCATATATCCAATCATCTAAACTACAACATTAATTATGATTCAGTTTTATTTGTTATCATATTCTGGGTAGAATAAAAATGAATATACAATTCCCCAATGTATATCAGTTGGTTGTCCATTATCTTTTTCGAACTCTAGAGAAAAAGGCTGAAAGATTATATTGCCTGCCTTTTGCAGTGTTAATAAATTTCTTGGAAATCTGTATGAAAGAGTGGTCATAAGTTAGCAAGTCCAGAAGATGGTACATTAGAATATACTATCATAAATGAAGTATTTATACCTTAACAATGTGCATCCGCGAACTTGAAAGCAGACAACCGTTAAAAATTTTTATAATAATGTAATAGTAGTAAAGTTAATACCATTACTTTATTATGGTCAGCGTTATACAAAAGATTGTAACATGTGATCGTTATCAAAAAATGGGTAATTATTTTTGAATCCAGACCAAAATGTTATTATGTCATATATAAAATTGGCTTGGGTTAAAATAACAGATAATTACCTAAATCAGAGGATGTCTAAAGCAAAGATAATTTATATTTTAATTCGTTAACTTTATGGTTAGAGTTAGTTTAAATTAGGTTTAGGTTTGATTAGGTGTTTTTATATAGCAAAATCACCTTCCCGACATTTTTTATTAATACCCCAAGGCAGGTTTAGACTGATGTTTCCTTTGCTTTTCATGTTTTTTTACTTCCTTTAAAATTTCTGCAATTTGATTTGCTGATCATCACGTGATTTATCTCCACCCTAAATTGGAGAAATATAGCGACACAGTATACACGTGACTTAATGCACAGCAAAATGGCCAGAATTAAGCTAATCGACACAGCATGGCCGGCATTATAGTTAGGTTTAACGTTAAGGTATAAGGAATTAGTCACGTGTGAGTACATCTATGTACCCACCGCCCGATTTGGAAATCACACTTTTTATCCAATCAGTGTTCATCACGTCGAATTTACAT